GGTCTCCCAGGCCCCAGCACTTACCAGGAACTCAACAGATTCCAGTCTGCCCCTCGCCAGGGACGCTCCTGCCACCACAGGTAACCCAGAGATCGAGAGTTTTGCCAGTTACCTGGATAGAACCCTCCGGTTGCCTGACTGGGACCCTCCACTTGCCCAGCTGATTGGCCTTAAGACCTGGGATCAGAACACCCTGCCCAGAACAAAAGCTCCTTTCAAGCTCCTTGACCAAGATGCTGAAGGCTATAAAAGATTGGAAACCTGGGAACTTTTCAATACCAGGCAAACAGGAAACTGAGATACCAAACCTACTATGGATGTGCCCCTCTTGAACACTGTAAGTCCTTCTGTTAAAAGAGGAGAGGGGACTGGAAAAGAAAAGACAACTCTGATGTGGGATTCCCCTGTGTATGCTGTGAATATCATTGGCTAATAAAGACACTGGCTTGGCCTAATAGGGTAGAACAGAGCTAGGTGGGGAAAACTAAACTGAATGCTGGGAGAAAGAAGGGTGAAGTCAGAGAGAAGCCATGTAGCTGCTGCCTGAGGTAGATGTGCTGAAACTTTGCTGGTAGGCTATGACCTCATGGTGATGCACAGATTAATAAAGATGGGTTAAATTAAGATGTAAGAATTAGCAAATAAGAGGTTAGACCTAACCTCTGAACTATGGGTGCAGAAGGAGAGTACCACAGCGAAGGCACAGACAATATTCTTAATAAAATCACAGAAGAAAACCTAGAGAAAGAGAAGCCCATCTAGATGCAAGAGAACTACAGAAAGCTAAATAGATGAGACCAGAGAAAGAAAATCCCCGTGTTACATCATAGATAAAACATAAAAAAAAAATACAGAATAAAGAAAGAGTATTAGAAACTGCAAGCCACAAAGGTCAATATACTTACATGGTCAGGTTCATGAGAGAAATACTTGATTATTCTGCAGCAGCTGTTGAAGCCAGAAGGGTCTGGAAAAATTCCAAGTCTTGAAAGACGGCTACTGTGAGACCCGACTATTATACTCGGCAAAATTATTTATTAAAACTAAAGTTGAAATGAAAACTTCCCACGGTAAGAAACAGAATAAAAGAACTCATGAGTACAAAGTCAGCTCAACAGAAAATACTAGAAAGAACACATCAACCTACAGAGAGAGAGAAACACACCCAAGAGGTCACAGGGAAAAAAATAAGCAATGTCGGGAGAAGGCAACCAAAACAACAGCACAAAATCCATGAAACGACGAGAGTTAATATACAGCTTTTCAGGAATAACTCTGAATATTAGTGGTCTCAGTTACCCAATAAAGACATAGACTAAGGTTGGGTTAGAAGTCAGGATCAGTGGGGGCTGGAGAGTTGGCTCAGCAGATATGAGCACTGCTGTTCTTACAGAGAGACAGGTTCAGTGCTTGCACCTACAGAGTGGCTCACAACAATTTAACTCCGTTTCTGGGGTGGGGATGGGGGGTCTGACATCCTTTTCTGGACTTTGCAGGGTGAGGCACATACATACGTGCAGGCAGAACACTCGTACATAATATATAATATATTAATATATATCACATATATACATATTTGTATATACATGTGTGCGTGTATGTATACACACACACACACAACACCACATATATATACACATACATTTTTAAAGGAAACAGTATCCATCTTTTTTCCCCTTTCACACCGCCGTTCTGCGCCATCAATGGCAAATGATGGTTAAAGGTATTCCACGCAAACGGACGTAAGAAACAAGCAGGCATAGCCATTCTAGTACCTGACAAAACAGTCTCCACGCTGTAACTAGTTGGAGGAACTAAGAAAGGAAACTATGCCTTTATTAAAGAAAGAAGCAGCCAACAGGACATTCCAATCCCAACAACAAACACGGGGGCACCCGATTGCATAAAAGAAACACGTTCAGATATAAAACCACAGACTGACAAGGTGACACTGGGTGATTTCAACACCCTGCTCTCACCAATGGCCATCTAGAAATAAGATACACAGAGGAAGTCCGGGGTTAAATGACACCATACACTAGATGGACCTAACATAGCTACAGAGTATTCCACCCAAAGTCTAAACAATAGTCATTCATTTCAGCAATCTGTGAAACACTCTCCCAAACTGACCACGTATTAGGACATAAAGCAGTCTCGCCAAATACAGGTAAATGAAAAAAGCATCCGACATTCTTTTTACTTCAAAGGAAGACATCTAGACACCCAACAGCGGTAGAAATTGCAGAAAGCATACAAACTCATAAAAACTAGACAACTCACTATGGAAAGATAATTTGATGGAGAAAGAAATCAAGAAGAAAAATTTTAAATTCTTAGAATCTAATGAGTGGAGGAGGAGGCTGCTTGTTTGTTTCCCTGGCTGCCCAGACTCCCAAATAATCACACAGAAACTATATTATTTAAATCACTGCTTAGCCCATTAGCTCTGGCTTCTTATTGTCTAACTTTTACATCTTAATTTAACCCATTTCTATTCATCTGTGTACTGCCATGAGGCTGTGGCTTACTGGGCAAAGTTCCGGCGTCTGTCTCCAGTGGGGCTACATGGCTTCTCTGACTCCGCCTTCCCTCTCCCAGCATTCAGTTTAGTTTTCCCTGCCTAGCTCTATTCTTTTGCCCTATCACAGGTCAAGACAGTTTCTTTATTAATCAATAGTATTCACAGCATACATAGGGAAATCCCACATCAAATGAGAATGAAAACACAATATACCAAAATATACAGGACCTAATAAAGCCAATCATAAGAAAAGATATATGACATTAAGTGCCTACTTCAATAATTTTGAGAAAACTCAACTTAAGAACTTAGTAATGAAGCCTAAGGCCTTAAAACAAGAATAAATAAAAAAAAAACAAAAATAGAACAAGAACAACCAAAACACCACCTCCCAAAAGCAGACAGGAAGCAATAATCAAAACCAGGGCTGAAATGAAGGAGAAAGAAACAAAGAATACAACCCAAAGAATTGATGAAAAAGATTTGATTTCCTAAAAGTATTAACAGGATTGACTAACCTTTAGCCAAATTAAATAAGAAAGAGAGGGCCCAAATAAATAAAACTGGAGTTGAAAAGTGAGACATTATAAGAGACACCCCAAAAATTTATAAGGACAAACTTTAAAAATTTTGTATTCCATCAAACTGGAGAGTCTAAAAGAAATGACTTGAGATTTTATACACACACACACACACACACATATGGACAACTAAAGCTAAATCAAGATTAAATAAATCATTTATAATAAACCCATAGCATCCAATAAGATAGAAGCATTAATTGAAAAATCTCCCAACAAAAAAAGAAAAAGCCAAAACCCAGGACCAGATAAATTCAACACAATTTTACTAGACCTCCAACAACAAATATCAAGATTTCCTAAATTATTCCATAAATCAAAAAGGAAGGAACATTTCAAAGTCTTTTTAAAAAGCCATCATTACCCTGATACCATAAAAACCAGACAAAGACCTAACAAGAAAGAAAACCGTCGTCGTCTAGTGTGTTTGAAGAAGATGGGCGCAAAAATTCTCAATTGAAAGAACCTGCTAACAGGACAGATTGTAGGTCGAAGGTTTTGTGGCTGGGTTGGTGTCTCAGTCCTGCTCCTGGGAGCCTTGCCTGGTTACAGAATATGGCCATTTCCAGCTCCGTATCCCCCATTGCTAGGAGACTTTGCTACGGTCACTCTACCAGAGATTCCAGGGTTAATGGTGGTGTCTAGAACTTTATGGGCATGGCCAACCCATGACTGGTCCAACCTGAGGTCTATACCACAACAGGGAGCCCCTTTCTGACTCTGCCTGGACAGCTAGAAACCTGGACAGCCCAGAGACCCAAGGTAGAACCAAACACAACTGGTTTCCTAATGGTATCCTGCTATACTCCTAGATCATTGGCTAGGCCAACTCTCATCAGAGAGGCTTTAAAAAGCTAAAGCTGTTGACCTGGTGAGGAAATTATGACTACTTTCATCTAGCTGTCCTTCATGCTTTCCATTTTCCAAACGTTTCTTTTGTTTTGCTTGTTTTTTGAGACAGGGTTTCTCTGTGTAACAGCCCTGGCTGTCCTGGAACTCACTCTGTAGCCCAGGCTGGCCTTGAACTCACATAGGCTCACCTGCCTCTGCCCCCTGAGTGCTGGGATTATAGGCGTGCACCGCCACCACTGCCCCCCAAGCCTTTTCAAAACTTTTATGAGCGTGGGTTATCTTCACATTGAGTAAAGAACATTATTCCAAGTATATTGCTTTAAACTGTTGACCTGAATAATTAAGTTCCCAGCTAGCGCTACTGAAACAATTTTATCTTGAAATTTTGGATGGGGATTTAACGATGGCTGTGGGTCCATCAGAGGATGAGGAACAGAACCGTTCAGAGTATTCAGAAGCAGAACCTTAACCGAGGTCTCGAACTCGTTCTGGTCCTATGCTGCCTTTTAAAACCGCCCTGCCAGCAACAGCCATGCCAAGGGACCATGACTGCCAACCAGGAAGCGGCATGTGGAGAAAGGCTTGCGTTTACATTCAGAGTCTGAAACAAGGGGACACCCGAGCTACGTTTTCTAATTTAACAGTTTAAAAAAAATTTTTGACTAAAATAATTTCCTAGGCTTTTACATGTCCTTTGAGTTTATATTTGTAATTGTGACATTTTCAAGAGAAACACACAATAATTCATTTGTATTACTGACAGTTTGCTTTCCTCTCAAAGGATTTTTCCCCCTTAAGTGATCAGTACACACAGAGTAAGAACATTAAATATATTTAGAGACATTTCTACTTAGAGGCATTTGAATAATTTTGAATTTATTGGTATTTAATTGACTTTTTAAAATAATGATTTGGGGTTTGCCTATCTCAAGTTTTGCTGCGGGCGAGATGTGTTTAGTTAAGCTTCTTGGATCCTGCCTTTGAAGCCACTCTTTCTTTGCAAATCTCAGGAACCCAGACTAGCCCCCACCCCTCCCCTCCTTTCAAGTTAAAACATTTGCTCTGCCACCTCATTCTTTTGGAAAGACGCCTTAACTCCTCCTCCTCCTCACGCTCTCCGGGTTTATGGGTAAACTCGACTTTACCTCCTGCAGAGATGAGGCTACTCTTAAAATGCTGGGACGTTTGGGGATTAGACTGTGATCCGGTGGAAACACCACACTCTTCCTCTCTTCGTAGGGCACGTCCCACTCCGGAGCTTCTTGCGCGCTGCGTGGTGTCTCATCTTCCTCTATTATCTGCAGGGTGTGGATCGGGGGCAGCGGTATGTCTCCCGGTGTGGACTCCACACTTTCAGCAAGAGTGTGCTCTGAGAAATCTTGGTCCACCAGTTTCACAACTGGTATTCCCAGGCCTTCCTTATCGCCCTTGTCCACAAACTACAAAAAGAGCAAGACAGTGAACTTAAATCGCTATTCACTAAGGAGCATTCAAAGTCAATAAATCAATCCATTGTATAGTTAATTTTCACTGTAACTGTCCTTCCACTTAACAGGTATCCCATCCCTTCATAGAATCATGGTAATCAGACATTCTTTGGGGGCTGGAGAGGTGGCTCAGTGGTTAAGAGCACTGGCTGCCTTTGCTGAGGTCTCAGGTTCGATTCCCAGTGCCCACCTGGTGGCCCACAATCTTGATAACTCCAGTTCCAGGAGAGACTGAGCCTTTTTCTGAATGAGTTTTGCACATGCAGGCAAGACACAAAATAAAATAAATCTTAAAAAATAAAAAGAAATTATCTTACCTCATGTGAAATATGTTCAGATTTTCTGTGATGGGAACCTGTTTTAAAAAAAATAATGAGTACTCTGCTTTATTTAACATTGTTTTACTTACATACAATTTTCCTCCCTTTAAGTAAAGGGTAACTAAAGCAGCTATTCAAACATGAACCACTACCTTAGTGAAAACAGGCTAACAAATCTCGAGGAAGACTGCTTGAGTTTAAGGCCAGCTAGCCTGGCCTAAATAGTGAGCTTTGTCCTGGGGCTAGCTCTTGTATACCAGGTTGGCCTCGAACTCACAGAGATCTGCCTGCCTCTGCTTCCCCAGTGCTGGGATTAAAGGTGTGCGCCACCACCGCCCAGCCCTTTAGATGTATTTTTACTTTAGGTGAATTTTTATTTTACGTGTATGAGTATTTCCTGCAGGCATGTCTGTCCGCCACGTGCAGGCGTGTTGCCTGGGAAGGTCAGGAGAGGGTGTTGGATCACCTGGAACTGGAGTTACAGACGCTTGTGAGCTGCCACGTGGGTGCTGGGAACTGAACCCAGGTCCTCTGCAAGAGCAGCAAACACTCTTAACTTCTGAATCATCTCTACAGCCACATTCTCTTCTTTTCTTATTCTAGCCCAATTTGTCGATTGTATTTACCTTTTTAAAAACTTAGCTTCATTTAAAAAAAAAACTACTATGATCTTTATTTCCTCTAACTTTGAAGTTGGTTTCTGTTCTAGTTCTTAGTGGTATGAAGTTCAGTTGTTTATTTTGGGTCTTCTTTTAAAAATAAACATTTTTAAACTTTTAGTTGTGTAGGAGTGTGTGTGTGTGTGTGTGTGTGTGTGTGTGTATGTGTGTGTGTGTGCTGTAATACTGGAGGCTTCAGAAATACCAAAGAGAGTCAAGTCATTAGACACTCCATTGCATGTCTGAAAAACAGAATACAAAAGCCTTCTGGATAAGTGAAAAATGGAATTCAGACAAGCCCCACAGTGAGAGAAGTCCTTTTGCTTTCCTGTCTGTGATACAGAAGAGGAAGTCTGTGATTATCTTACACCTAAAGCTTCAGAGTTGGAACCCTGGAGGGAGATCAGGGGCAGAGTGCTGGCCCCGTGCATGCAGGGTCCTGGGTTGGGGTTTTAGCTTGGCAATCAAACAGTGGAAATAGTACTAAAAAGAAGCCTGCAGAACCGGTATCGTAGGTTGGAGACCCAACTCTACTAGTGCAGTGACAGAGATATGAGCGCGCACACACACACACACACACACACACACACACAACACACACACCGGTAAGTAGAGTGTGGAAAGACGAGTAAGTTGCAGCCAAACCCTTGCAACAGGAACTTTACACTACATACGTTGAAGATGTATAACCGTGTGTTTAAAGTACAGTAGTTTACATCAACTTGCTTTCTAGATAACTTTGAGAGAGGTGTTTGGGAGACTGTGTAAACACTAATTAGATCTCTTACCTGTAATTTATGGTTAAGTTCTCAAATTAAATACTAACTGAATTTCCTCCAGCACAATTCTACTCCCTTTCTGACTGTCTCTTTCTCTTTGTCTCTGTGTCTTATCTCTCGCCCTCTCTGTTCACACACACACATCTCTTCACACACACATCTGTTCACACACACACACACACACACACACACACACACACACACTCTACCTCAATGGTTCTACAGTTTCTTCTACCTCAAGAGTTCAAAATGCTTCACAAAAGTATCTTATAAATATCACAGTTGAGATTTAAATTTTTCCTATCTTGAAAGAAGTGAAGAACCAATAAATTTTTTTTATAACTCCTGGTGTTTGAGAAATGACTCAGCAGTGAGAACATTGGCTGCTCTTGCAGGGGATCCAGATTCAGTTCCCAGCACACAATGGCAGCTCACAATCTCATGTAACTCTAGTCCTAAGAGAAATGATATTCTCTGATGGTCTCTGAGGGCGCCAGGAAAACACTTGGTACACAGACATATATGCAGACAAAACACCCGTACACATAAAATTATTTTAAAAGTTAAAAAACTCTTAATGGGGGTCTAAGACTTCTCTTTGACATCCTTAAAAAATACCAAAGTAATTGGCACAACAATAAAATGTTACTTGATCTATGACAAAAATGAAATCAATTTAAAACAAATTAGTAACTTTTACAATATAACACCTTGCTCTAATTATCTTAATAATAAAAATTAACGTGATTTTTTTTTTACCATGTGATATACTTCCATACATATCTTCGAACAGACTAGAACTTCCTTCAGATAGTTCATTCAAACTAGGTTCCTAGACACACAGAGAAAGAAAGAAAACATGTTGGGCAAAATACTTGAAGAACTAAAATGTTTTTCCTGTTTTCATGATTTCTGTTTAAAGAATACTTTATTGGTTTCTGTCATAAAACTCACATAGATGAGAATATAAAGTTAAGGCAATTTTTAAGACACATTTTCCCTCTAAGTTGGCAGAGGCCGAGACGGAGCTGGTGAGGATCTGAATCCATGGAGCTTGACTTCGAGAGGGGTTGCTGCTCCCGGGAGAACTCCGAGAGCTGGGGGGGGGGCATGCATATCATTTGAGTAACAAAAGGAAAACAAGAGGGACGCAAACCCCAACGTTAATTGAACAACTTCAAATAAGCCAGTGGGTGCAGGAAAAAATGTTCACGCCTTCCATCATTAGAGAAATGTAAATTAAAAATGCCACAAGTCAGCACTTGGAATTCACAATCACATCAAGAGAATCAGGTCTAGAGGTGATGACCACATGGGAAACGAGCAGGCGGTCAAGATTCAAAACCACCACACATTTTTCTATTGGAATGCAAGATAGCAAAGCAGCTTGTCAAAACAGCTTGACAGTTTTTCGAAACCTTAAACTGGGAACAGCCCGTTTGATCCAGATTCTGTTCCTGGGCATTCGTGAAGCAAAATTAAAAGCATTTGTTGGCACAAAGACATATATAAGGAAGCCAAGTATATGGGTCTACGTCCAGGATCTCAGCCCTTGGGAGACCAAGGCAGAAGAATTCCAAGTTTGAGGTTAGTCTGGGCAACTCAGCAAGAGTAAGTCCAGCCTGTGTAGCGAAACCCCATGTCAAGGAAAACAGCGAACGTTTGTACGTGAGCGTCCACAGCAGCACCCTTCACCAGAGCTCAGTCGTGTATAGAGCCTCGATGTTCATCAGGGGACGAACGCATAAAATATATCTAGAAACAAATGGGATGCTGATATATGTTATAACAAGAAAACACGTGGAAGACATTACGCGGAGAGAGAAGAGCAAGCTACAAAGGACCACGTATTTACACATAATTCCACTCTTGTGCAAATGTATATGAAGGAAAATGAGTCGGCTGCTGCCGAGGGCAGGAGGGCAATGGAAGAACTGGGAAAGTATTGACTCGTGGCGTTGGGCTACTTCTGTTTAAAAAGAGTGAGAATGTCCTAAAATGGATTGTGGTGATGGGTGTGCAACTTGATGGACAGGCTGAAGGCCACTGAAATGTACACTTTAAACTGGCCAATTAATTAAACCTTATAAATTCGGAATAAACACTTACTGAATGGCACATTGTTAATACAGAGAGGAACATGAGCTGCGAATAGCATTTTACTTAATGGCAATGAGCAATTATCTGATAAAACATTTTAATTCATCAAGGCGTGTTTCTATTAAACAGTGGATAACACACTACACATGATAGAATGTGTTTTGGCAATTACCTCTGTGACTTTGGAAGCCACTTTTGGAGTAATAAGGTTTCTTAAATACTCAGATTTTTCCATCCATGTTTTTAGATTTTTATATTCCTCTTTCATTTTTTCCAACCTAAACAAAAAAAATCAGCTACAGATGAAAAACTACAAATGACAGAGGGATATATATATATATTATATTATATATTAAAACCCACAGAAGAATAACAAAATATGACCCATTCATAAGATGTTCCAAAAGTGACAAATTAACAACATATTCTCTAAAGAAACAGTTAAAAGAAATGATTACAACAGAATTAAGGGTCACGGTAATGGCAAGAGATTAGGGAAAGAGAAGCCTCTTAAAGGCGCATAAAAGACATTTCTGACCTTAGTGATAATGATGTATTTCTTACACAAATAATCACTTTATTATCGTTATCTAAGCTTTATAAACACACTTCAGAAATTATTCAATAATGTATTATGTATTCTCAGTATTTTAATTTGCTTATTTTGGTCAGTCTGGGATGCAATAACAGGATACCATGCAGTGGGTGGATTAAAGAACAGACATCTATTTCTCATAATCCTGATGTGGGAGTGTCATATCAATCTGTTGATTTCATTGGCTGAGCAATAAAGAAACTGCTTGGCTGGCCCTCATAGGTTAAAGCATAAATGGGAGGAGAAAACAGAATAGGATGCTGGGCGGAAGAGGAAGTGAGGTCAGACTCTGCGCTGCTTCGAGAGAGACCCGACAGCTCTGCTGGAGCAGAGACGCCATGCTCAGCTCTCCCAGGCAGCTGCAACCCACGATGGACTTAGGCTAGAATCTTCCCGGTAAGCGCACCTTGGGGTGCTTACACAGATGATTAGAAATGGGCTAGTCCAGGTGCGAGAATTAGCCTGTAAGGGCTAGAGTTCATGGGCCAAGCAGTTCTTAAATGAATACAGTTTGTGTGTTGTTATTTCGGGCATAAGCTAGCCAAGCGGCCGGGGTGTTGGGGACGCAGCCCCGCCGCCGCTCCATATTACAACATAATCCTCAGGCTAGGATGTCTAATGCTGAGATACCAGCTCTCCCAGACCCCGGTGAGGGTCTTCCTGGTGGCCATCATCTTCTCTCCTCATAGTGGAGGGAGGGATATTAGGTCTTCTCTTCTTGTAACTTTTATAAGGGCATTGATTGCATTACAAGGGCTTCATCCTCAATCCTAATCTAACCTAATCCAGTTATGTCCCCAAAGCTCCACCTTTAACTGTTGTTAAATCAGAGCTTAAACCTTTAACATATTAACTGAGGAGGCAGCTCAGTGACGGAGCGTTTGCCTAGGACACCTGAGGCTAAGAACATTGATTACTCTTCTCACTTGAAAACAACTGACATTAAGATTAGTGTGATCCAAGGCGGGGCCTCCGTTCCCAGAAAAATTAGTGTTTTTCAGGCTCTCTCTTCCTTCTAACTCTGGAATAGGAGCCAGTGGTGGACAACTAGGGCGTGGCATTTGGAGTCACGGTCCGTCACGGCTCATCGGTGGCCCAAGTGGAAGTCTGGGTGTTATGGGGTTCATCGTCTTTGGGATACGCTGAACTCTGGCTCTTGTTGCTTCATGACTGCATGCCTATCCTAGTTCTGCTCAGTTTTTTATCATCTTGGCTGTCACCAAGTCCCTTGAAAATGATTGCCCCAAACAATGGACTCAACACCTTTAGACCTCTTTTATAACTCACTGCTTTCAAACATAATTTTAGAACATATTTCACCCAGACTTTGTTGTCTGTTGTTGTACAATGAGATAGTCTGAAGGAACCTATGAGAGTTTACGTAGAGAGTGAGTATGTGCACATACTAGCTCTCTGCCTCCATAAATCCATTAAGGTGAGCTGCAAGACCAAAGGACACACCTTTGTCCTCTGATCTGACACACTGTGTTTTGCCAAGATTCACTGAATGTCTACTGTACGCTGTGTGTTCGCTAAGTACCAAACACACTATACGATGGTGTGTTTCAAGGAACATATTATCTTTTCTCAAAAAAAAAAAAAAACTTAATTTAACGGTTAAAGACTGAAAAGGGTAAACAAATATTAAACTGTACGTCATGAAACGTATTCTGTCAGTGTCATGATGCTGGATCTCTTCACCAGAATTGGGAGCAATAAATGTCTGCAGATGAAGCCATGTTGTGGCTTATTTACAGGGGTCTGGGCACTTTAGCACAAAGACCGAGGGATCAGAAGTCAAGGCTGAGGATTTGGGCAGAGAGGGAGGAACTATACAAATCAATAGAAATTCCATACCCGAGGGAGAAAATAACTAGGGCATTCAAGCTTGTGTTAGCTCAACTGCAGATTAAAAAGAAAGGTTGAGCCAGTGGGGTAGAATATTAGACAGAAGGGACCGACAGAGAAGGGTGAGGAAAAATCGCATGAGAGACAGCGGGAAAGACTCGCATGAAGGAAGCCTTTTGCTTGCTTTCTTACAGGTGGGTTTTCACCTCTTTCCCTATCATAATAAAGCACCTTACAAGGGACACATGAGACGGCATCACAATGAGTACCCCTAGGTCAGTGAAAAGCCTGAGGTCAACGTAAGAAGTTCGGAATGGCGCAGACTACATGGAAACAAATGGCATGTGTGCTGTTTACCTTTCCCGGGGTTTCTCCTGGAGTTTTTCGAGTCGCACGGCGTTCGGGTGGCTGCTTTCAGCAGCCCCGACGGAAACGTTAAGTTCTGGGGATAAGAAGGCTGGGTATTCGACTCGTTGCGGGGTAATAACATTTCTGAAAAAACTGTAGTAGAGTCACACGCCAACACTACACAAGAGTGCATCCCTACAGTCGGTGTGGTAGCTGCTGTTTTCAACTGTTCTTGTACCGGCTCACCCACTACCCCGGACAAGAAGACAGAACTAAGGAAGAAGGCAAGAACTGGAATCCTGGGACTCTCTTGCCCTCTTGGTTACTCATCAAGACCGTGGGCAGTAGGGATGGGGAAGGAGACCCAGAGGAAGGAGAAATAAAAAATTCAGGTCTTTTGGCCACCATTTATAGCCAAATCTGCCTTCAGAGTCCCCCATCCTTTCAAACACCTAATTCTATGGACTAGATTTTATGTCTGGCACTGTATTCGTATGCCTGTCTGTATTGGTTGTCTCGTTCCACCTGCATGGCAAACCCACGGGATAAGAATTACTGAATCCACTTGACATACCAGAAAGCCAGGAGTGAAGAGATTTTTTTTTGTTTGTTTGTCTGTTTTTGTTTTTTAAGGTAGGGTTTCTCTGTGTATCCCTGGCTGTCCTGGAATGGTCTACAGAGCGAGTCCCACATCCCAAATCTAATTTCCTTGATTCATTTCGATTTTTAAAAACAAATCCTTTTTCTTAGACAGCTTTCTCTGGTGCATATTTTTCTTGACGTGTATTTTTACTGTTGAAGTTTTAAGGTCATTTGGAATACTATATTTTAAGCTACATTTCCTTTGCTAACAACACATGTTTTGTGGGGGGAGTATGGAGTGTGGGGTGGTTGGTGCATGAGCGTAAAGGTGTCTTATTCTTTCCCTCCCTGCCTTGGTCCCTTTTGCTGAACCTGAAGCTTGCCGTGTCAGCTGGCCTGGTCAGCAAACCCCTGTCTCTGTCCCTCAAAGCTGGGGGTTACAGGCACCTGTAGCCATGTCTGGCTTTATGCGTGGATGCTGGGGACCTGAACGCAGCTTGCAGGGCATCTTCCCAGCCCCACTAATAACATTTTAAACACAGTTTTTATTGTTGGTTTTTTTGTTTGTTTGTTTGTTGTTTGTTTTACAGCCCATTTGGAAGTAACAGTTGGCGTGGTGTGGGGTGGGCTAACAATGACACCCTGTAGAACAGAAACTGGCTACCCTAGGCACGTGGATCTTGGAAGTTCTTCCTCTATATTCCGTGAGGAGGATCTTGATGGCTGATTTCCGCATTGTGCCACACCCATTTCCTCTCATCTCTAGACCTCAGTTCCTTTCTCCAGGGGGCACCTAGAAACTCAGGATCTCTCCCATCTTTTTGTCTGTTGGCTTGTTTCCCACAGGGTTTCAAGTAACCCCCTAGACTCCTCATCCTCCTTCCTCTGCCTGCCGAGGGTTGGGGCTCCAGGCTTGAGCCACCACACCTGGCTCTTTTTCTCACCTTATCAAGCAAAGGAGTTCGGTGCTCCCCTTACCTTAGGATCTAGGCGTCCTGGCCACGCTCTCGGGAATTCTCGAGATAACTGATACGTTCCGTGGCACCTTTGAAATGCCATTCGCTCTCAATGAAGTAACGAAATCAAAACACTTACGTGACAGGGTCTGTCCTTTCTGGAGGAGGGGCGATCTTCATAAACATGGATGGCTCGATGATTTTTTGAAGAGGTTTTAGCTGGATAAAATTATATGATTGTGTAATTCGCCGTGACAGGACTAACAGCCCAGCCCCCCCCCCCAAAGGCCTATACCATACTTGAGTGGTGTGTGTACAGAGAAGAGGAAGGAAGAAAGGAACTTAATTTGTTGAACATTGAACATTTGCCAAGCATTGCACACCTTCAATTTTCTGTAACCCTTCTGATAGAAGTAGGAGGTAAGTGTGAGTATTCTATAGATCACACTAAACAACAGTAATTCATTCAAGGTTACAAAATGTGCAAAATGGGGCAGCTCTACGTTTTCAGTGAGGTCTACACACGAGGCAACACTTGCCTAGTTCCAGCATGTGTGTGCTCAGTTGTGTCTGGAGGCGTGTGCTGCGCTGCGTGTGTGGTCCAGAGGATAACCTCGGGCCTCTCGCTGGCCCGGAGCTCATCAAGTCGGCTACAGTGGCTGACCAGCAAGCCCCAGAGATCTTCCTGCTTCCACCTCCCCAGCTCTGGGACTGCAGATCTAGAAATCACCTCTCCCTCTAGGGATGCTCTCACATGTTATATTGGACACAAGACCTACTTCTAACGTTATACTCATTAGCTATGGCCGCCAAACATAATTTCCAGAAATAACGGCTTCTCATAAGGCGTGATCGATGCGCTCAAACAGAAGACATGTCTTGAAAAAGCGGAACTAACCTGATGTGAAAATCCATAGCCAAAGGTTCCATAGGAAAACATGAACTCCACCTCCACCCTGCAGATAGACTGGAAGCAGAACGCTGTTGTTAGAGAAGTGACCCGACATGACAAGGTCATAAACGTACACTTTAGAAAAGCCTACGGTGACCCTTCCGGGTAAAAAAAAAAAAAAAAGACCAAAGCTTCACGTACAAAGAGAACTCCAACAGAGTTCTGTTCAGTTCCTAGAACGTTACAAGCCTTTCACCTTAACACAAGGCTGGTGATCAAATGTATAAAATTTTAATTTAGAATTATTAGTAGGATTACCATAAGATATTGACTTATGTGTACATATTTTGGTTTTTGTTGATGGAGGAGTTGAAGACAGGGTTTCTCTGTGTCACAGACCTGACTGTCCTAGAACTAGCTCTTGTAGACCAGGCTGGCCTCGAACTCACAGAGATCCGCCTGCCTCTGCCTCCCAAGTGTTGGGATTAAAGGCGTGCGCCACCACCGCCCGAGTAAGGTATGTATTTTATTTACGTTTATAGGTCAAATGATTTACTCACAGGCCTTTCCTATCTACCCCAGATCAAATGAAGACTGAGACACGCAACCTCACCTCTGACCCCAGGTTGGCCGTGTGTGAAGGGAAAAAGAGGCCCCTGCTTTGTGGCTTTATATACGTCCCTCAACCCCGTTCTGGACAGGGGACAGCAGGAGCAGCTCCGGCTGATCATCTGATAAAATCACTAACATTTAGGTGCGTTCAGAATCAGGGACTGCCAACACTTTTTCAGAGACTTGGTCCGCGCATGGACAGCGGCCGCTGACATTTTACATTCTCGTCCAGTGGTTTCTAAGCCTCTCTCTCACAATTTACTAATAGGATCAAATTCTTAAAACATATTTATATATGTATAGATGTAACAATTAAAGAAAAAGAGACCATGAATTTGAGAAAGAGCAGGGGGGAAGCGTGTGTGGAAGGAGTTGGAGGGAGAAAATGGAAAGGGGGAGTGACTTTATATTATAATTTTTAAAATTATAAAAAATATAAAAAAGCTAAGTTGAGTCTGAAAAACACGATGCCAAAATTTTATATTAAAAAATGAAGAATTTAAAAAAAATGAAGAATTTGTGAGCAAATGTGATAATTTCTCTATTACACATATTTTTACTAATTCATATAGCTACGGTTAATGTAGTGAAAAAAATCTTAAAAATTAGGCAGTAAGCCATCAGATTAAATTCTCTGCACTGTCGGATACCACACATGGGTAATCTGAGGAAGGCTGGCGCGGCTCTTACCGAGTTTCTGTGCTTCATCTGCAGGACTTCTGTGAAGCAGCCTTTCTGGAAAAAGAGAGGTAGAATGATTCACGCCCGTGTCTGTAGTTTATCTACAGCATAGTAGCATACAAATCCGGCCGTTGTTTTAAAATATACATCAGCTCGACAGCTGAAATACATTATTCATACAAATACAATCTCATCTTAACTAAATTAACATACAAATATAACGTCTGTTCACTGGAAGAGAAACCCAGTTGTGAATGACAGGAATAAATGTAGACATTAGCAGTTACCAGGGCAGAAACGTTTCTGCTTGCAGACTTCCCTTCCTGGGCATCAACGTTTATTCTGGCTAAAAGCGAATCTCCCCACGACAAACTCTGGAGAGGTGGAAGGACCTTCACACCCGAGGGCACGGACAGGCTCTGGGAATCTTTGCCGTCCCTGATCCGTGGTTATCATCTGTGGTTATCTCCACTCTCCTATAGGTTACCTTGCCCAATTCAACGCCCGCCTGGGCTTTATTCTTCTTCCCGAGCATCATCACTGCTTCCAGTTTCACAGTTAAGAACCGTACACACAGGTACAGCCGGGCGGTGGTGGTGGTTGCCTTTAATCCCAGCACTCGGGAGACAGAGTCAGACGGATCTCTGTGAGTTCAAAGTCAGCCTGGTCTATGAGAGCGAGTTCCAGGACAGGCTCCACAAAAGCAGAGGCACTTCCCAAATCCTACACACCACTCAAGGTCAGAAAGTGATGCAGACTCCCCCACGTTCTCCTCAGTTGCCCCAAATTACATGATTCTTGTGTGGGAATTCTAAGTTTTCTTATTTTAAACCCCATGCTTTCTGACAGCCCTACATTTTTTTGTATGTTTATAATGAACTTTGGTTCCAATGCACGTGGTAAACAGAAGGTATCCGTCAGATATCAAGAACACCAGCTAGACTGTATGGCACCAAGATTTTTTAAAAAGGTACTTTTTACTTTTTGTTTTTTTATTCGTTTTGGTCTTTTTTGAGACTATGTCTCACATAGCCCAGGTTGGCCTTGAAGTCACTGTGAGGCCAAGGATGACTTTGAACTCATAACTCTCTTGTCTGTACCTCCCACCCCACTCCCCGCAAGTACCGGGATTACAGGTATGGGTCCCCATGTAGCTGGGGGGAAAATGTATATTTTTATACATACCTGTATTATTTCGTAAAGATGTGCTTCAACACTGCCCAAGGAGAGGGCGGGTCTTTCTGTACTTCCTCCATCTTGCATTAGCTCCAAAAAAATATTATTCCTCTCATCATCTTGACGTCTGGGAACCTCAATGCCAAAATGTATGGAAGGAAGTATTAAATTTCGGGCCTGGATTTCAGACGTGACTTCCAAATAAATACTTTCGTAAGGCATACTATATATATATATATATGGTACCATGGGCATCGCTAATTATCAATTTTATGCATGTTAGTCTTGTGACTTTCTAAGTTTGTCATTCTACATATTCTAAGGTCAACAAAATCAGGACTTGTTTATGTCTAACATTAATTATGATCTTTTGAATCATCTATTGCCCAAATTGTCCTTTTAACTATACATTAAAGAGGTGCCCTCAACACTCTACTGAAGTCACGCATAAAGATGAAGTGTGACTCAGGTAAATTAAGCAGAAGCAACAATGCTAGAGCGATCATAATGCTCGATTTCAAATTATCCTAACAGAGCCATAGTCACAAAGACAGCATGGCCCTGGAACAAAATAGGCCTTGATCAGTGGAATCAAATATAGGGCCCAGACAGAAGGCCACACAGCTACTTGATTTTCCACAAAAAATATACATCGGAGAAAAGACAGTTCACCAAACAGTGCTGGAGAAAAACGAATACCCGTGTGCAGAAGAAATGCTCAACATTTTTAGCCCTCCGGGACTGCAAACCAAAACAACATGGATTCAATCTCACTCCACTTAGAAAAGCTCTCCTGCAAAAAAGCCCAAATCGGGGGGATTCGGGCTAAGACCCTACTGGCAGGAATGCAGAAACCTGCCAACATGTTTGCTACCGCCTGGTCCAGTTACACCGGTGCTGATATCAAAGAATCCAAGTCAGCACACTGTAGAGTTAACCTCCACACCTGTGCTGATTCTGGTGCATCAGGCTAGGAGCCCAGGGCTGAAAGTGAAAGGCTGTCAGAACTGTAGCATGCATACACAGCAAAGTTTTATTCGGTCACACAAGAATGAAACTGTGTTGTTTCCAGGGAAAAAAAAATATGGGACCGGAGATCACCATGTTGTTCACAGAATGCCAGGTTTACAAAGACCAATGCTCTCTCATAACGGGGATTTAGGGGGAAAGAAAGGGGACACAAAAGCAAGAGGAGAGTTATTAGTGATTTAGAACGAGGAAAGGGGAAGGGACAGGAAGATGAATGAGGATAATGGAGTGGTTAATATGATCCAAGCATGTTCTTCACGTGTATGAAAATGTCAGGGAAAGCCAGCCCTTTATGCACTTGATAGTCTAATAAAATAAATTAATTTAAAACTATGTCTAGTTTGTTGTTCTTTTTGCATTCATTTGCTCATGTATGTATGTACGTACATACGTGTGTATGAATTTAGGCCAGAAGGAGCACATGTGCCCCAGTACACATGCAGAGGTTACAGGACAGCTTGTATGAGCTACTCTCTCCTTTTACCGTGGGACACCCAGGAATCAAATTCCAACCTGTAGGCTCGGTGCAAGTGCCTTTAATCTCTGGCCCCCACGTTACTTTTTAAGAATTCAGGGCTAAAAATGACCTTTCCTACGCGACAATTAAAATAAAGTTTACAAAGACACTTGGAGCAGAGATGAAATCCTTTAGAATTTCTGTAAAACTCAATGTAATAATTTTTTAAAGAAATGATTGGGCTAATTAATGAATCCTGTAGCTATATAATAGAGTTTGTGTGTGTGTGTGTGTCTGTCTGTCTGTCTTTCTCTGTGTGTGAAAGACAGAAAGCAGGAGGGAAGGAGAGAGATGTTTGGGGTTGTTACAAAGACTGCAGTCTATTATGTGACAACCGTAGGGGATCTAGATGAGGCGAAGATGTGAGAGGAGAGAAAGGAATCAGAGAGTGAAAACAGGAAGGGTGGAGGAGCGGTGCTCAGGAGAGAGGAGGGGCAAAGCGGTAAAGCCTTCTATGAACATTCTAGAGCCTCACGCAGCAGCACACTGGGGAAGAAGTGCACCGGGGGGCCGGGGCAGGTGTTCCCACAGGCCACTGCAGGGGGCACGATGCTGCAGAACCCAGAATGAAAAAGCACAACTCTTTTTTTTTTTTTTGAGACAGAGTTTCTTTGTAGTTTTTGGTGCCTGTCCTGGAACTAGCTCTTGTAGACCAGGCTGGCCTCAAACTCACAGAGATCCACCTGCCTCTGCCTCCCAGCGCTGGGATTAAAGGCGTGCGCCACCACCGCCCGGCTACTACTCTTAGTTCTTGTCTGCCTTTTTTTTTTCCTCCCCAAAGATGCAAGTACTTTAGAATGCTTGAAACCTATAGCAACACATCATTCTACTAAGAAGAGAGTTTTCCCATTACCTGTACAGAAAAATACTTCACTTCGTCAAACCTGAGTACAAGGTTCTTTTCGTTGTTGGTGGCTTTCAAGTTCCGGAGTTTCGTGCATTTCGTGACGTGATTTATACAGATACGAATGAACAGGTTGATGTGTTGTTGTACAATGACTGAGAATAAAATATTTAGGAAACAAGTCCGGGTGCGGTTGATCAAACAACGCACTGTAAAATCTATTAGACAATCCGGGCCAAAATGTCAAACTCAAGCACGCACAGAGAGAAGACAATCTCGGAGGATATTGAACAATGGGAAAAACTTTCATAATTACGGCTTTGACTCTCGTTGCTAGGCACAGTGTCATCAGGAATGTTTATGTGTCTCTACACACCTCTCCTTATTTTTATCCTTGCATTCTCGCTGTAATTTCTTTGCAACTTTTCTATATATTAATTTTAAGATGGCTAAGTATATATAATCTACAACTGGCATTATTTTCCAGATCTAAGGAGATATAGAAGTTTTTTTAAAACAAAATTTATTTATTTATTATGTATACAATATTCTGTCTGTGTGTATGCCTGCAGGCCAGAAGAGGGCACCAGACCTCATTACAGATGGTTGTGAGCCACCATGTGGTTGCTGGGAATTGAACTCAGGACCCGAAGAGCAGGCAATGCTCTTAACCTCTGAGCCATCTCTCCAGCCCCCATATAGAAGTTTTTAAAATCAATTAGTTTCTTTACATCCTGACCAAAGATCCCCCTCCCTCCTCTCCTCACATCCCCTCTCCCCCAATCCACTCCTCCTCCCCTTTAGAAAGGAGGAGACCTCCCTTGGGTATCAAGCAAGCAAGGCATAGGAAGTTGCAGCCAGACTAAGCGCCTCCCCTTGTGTTAAGGCTGGGCGAGGCACTCCATTATGAGAAACAGCCTCCCAAGAGCCAGCCAAGGTGTTGGGGGCAAATAAGAAAATAAACTAAGAATAACTGAATCTTAAGATAGAATTTACAGCACAGTGGTCTACTCTAATTCTCTTTGTTAGTGAATGGGTCTCCATCCTGATGGTACTATATTGCTTTCACTGTACTTTATGAGTTAAAAAAAAAATGCTTTCCAGATTTGAGTTTCTTCAAACATCTCTATAGAAAATTTTTTTAAAAAAACTCCCTTTATACAAAAAAAAAAAAAAAAAAAAAGGAAAAGCAATGCCATAACAAGAGTGGCTTTAAAATAAGTGTAGATGAATACCGTTGCCCACACCTCTAATTCCAACAGGGTTGAGAGTTCAAGGCCAGCCTGGGCTACGTAGAAAGACACACTCCCAAAGAACCAAAACAAGGCACAAATTTAAAGTAAATTCTTTTTAAGACATTTGAGTAGACTTACTGCTTACATGTAAATTCGCATTATCTCTTAAGGGCATACCATGGTTTTCCTTTAGCTTACGTGGTGATTGAAGGAAATCACAGAAGGCCAAAAATCTTTGTGTTAAACTTCTACACTGAGAAATGGGATTTATTTTTGCTGTCCTTGAATCTGAACAGGCATTCATGACCATATTAACATAAGTGCAATGAATGCAACTGAAATCGGCATTAGGATGCATGATAGAGACTTTCATCTGAGAGTGAGAGATTAGAGAGCATGAAGAACTATGGTAATCATGGGTTTGTTCTAAATATGTAATATTCTGTAAACTCAAAAGGAGTTCAGGAGGAAGAGAGATCCATGAACAGAACAAGCTTTTTTTTTTTTTTTTTTGAGACCAAGTTTCTCTATAGCTTTGGGGCCTGTCCTGGAACTAGCTCATGTAGACCAGGCTGGCCTTGAACTCACAGAGATCTGCCTGCCTCTGCCTCTCGAGTGCTGGGATTGAAGGCGTGCGCCACCACTGCCCAGCTCAGACCAAGCATTCTAAACCATCCCACCCGGCCAAGTCCACCCTTGCAGGCTTCCACCCTGAAGAGCAGGGCATCCTTGTCCTTTTCAACTTCCAAACAGCAGCCAAAGCGAACACTTTGAAGAAGTACCACCTGGAGGGCGAACAGAGCATTTGACAATCAAATGGTTAGTGTTTCAAGCTGCTCTGTTTCCAGGTAGTTAGTGACTGCAATAAGACACCGGAGCAGCAAGGCATGCTGATGCCGTGGTCTGCAGACCAAAAGGATACATCTGTGAGAAAACTGTCGACAACTCTTTATGTGAACAGCCAGGCAGCCGACCTGCAACAACCGGAACAAAACACAAAAGGCAAGCACGTTTTTTAAAAGTTAATTTCTTGTGTTTCACGGTGAAGTTTTTAAATCTTTATTTATTTTTTTTATTTTTATTTATTTATTTA